GGAGAAATTACTGAATAAAAACAACTCTGTTTCACATATCTTTTCCTTAATTTGTTTCAATATATRAATAAACATATATGATAAATATGCATTATTTATGGATACACATTTCAGTTTACCTGATGCAAAGTAAAGTGCATGATTTCTGAAAAAAAGTCATACAAAGAAACTTTAGAAGGCACAAAATCTAACTTGTTTAGTTTCATAGAAGAGGAAACTGTACTTCAGAGAGATTAATGATTATTTTGTTCAAGATAGCTAGTYATTGTCTAGGACAGAACCAGAAGTCTCTTCTTCAGATAATTATCCCAAGACAGTGATTGTTATATTTGGGTTGTTCTTATCGGCYAGAGTCAGCAACAGCTAGAAAAAAAAAATGTTTGAATCTCTACTAATACCAAGGTGCTCTGAGAATGCCCCAGAGTTGCTTAGAGGCTCACAAGTGAGTCAGCCATGAAAATAAAAGTAACTCATTATGTGAGTATAAACCTTGTGGTATATATTTTTAAATAAATCTGGGATAACTTTAAGATCTGCACCTACAGTCTCCTTGACATAGGTTAAGCATCCCACATCTAAAAATCCAAAATCTAAAATGCTACAAAATCCCAAACTTTCTGAGAACTAACACAATGTCACCGTGGAAAGTTCCACCCCAGTAAATGGGCTGCAGCTGAAACACAGGCCCACTAAGCATACTGAACAAAATTGGGTGTCTAAGGTATAAAAAACACAAACGTATTTCATGTTTACACTTGAGTCCTATCCACAAGGTATCTTTTTGTGTATATGAAACTCTTCTGAAATTTGAAAATACCCCAAATGGATAGTATAAATTGTTGCTTTTTTTTTTTTTTTGGTTCGTGTTTTGTGTTTCATTTTTAACAAACAAATAATGTATGAGAACATTCCTCTAGAACCTGTAAAGAGAAGGCAGGAAGAACAATTGTTGCCCCAATTAGAGTCAGTAACAAGGGTGATTTAGAGTGTTAAAATTTTCAAGTTCCATATGTTTCATTTATTTTACTTTATTTTCTGTCATCACAGGGGAATGAAAGAGTGGAGTGAGAGAGCCATCTGGGGCATCATGCATTTTAATCTAAAAGAATAACCCTTCTCAAACATATGGAGAATATTTTTTTTCTCCCAGTATTGTCATTACAGCTCAAAAATTTTTGCTGTTTTATATTCAACCTCAATTTTGGTTGAAAAGGACAATTTGTTCCTCTCCAATTATTTCTGAAGGTTTTTCAAGATAGATTTGAAATATGTTGACCTTTAAATTATGTGTTGATTTTTTTTCTAATAACTTTAAGCGTAAATTCAGGATCAACACAGTCCCAATGCCAGGGGAAGATGAACATAACAATGATTCAGACAGATGCCCATACTCCACTTAAATGTGTGCATGGGTAAGTAAGGTTTCAAACAATTTGAACGTAAATCCAGAGGGTACTCTTTACACATGTCACTGTGGCTTTCATATGTGGCCTGGGAGCCATCCCACTGGCATGTGACTCTGTAGAGATAGCCATGGGCACCATTTCTTGATAAACACCTGGCTACCTAATTCAAAAGCTTTAAACACTGAAGATAAAAATGATGTCATTTTTAGTTGCCTTTAAGAAACTGAAAGATCTATAAATTATATATAATGTATAATACAGTGTGTCTGCCCTAAGGGACAGTCCAGTGTGAGACAGTGGTCTGAGATCCAGCAACCACTCAAAATTGAAAAGAAAATATTCAAAGAAAATTCTAAAAGGAAAGTAAAAGGGGGAAAATCTCAGGTACAAGGAATTCATACCTCATCCTTCCTTCTATGACATTGACTGGACCAGACCAACTGCCACCTCCCAGAGGCAATGAGCATGAGATATGTGATGACAGGGACAAATATATCCCCACCTGTCTGAGCAGGTGAGGGGACTCAGATAGTTAAGTGCATTAACATGGTAAATCACATGGCGGGACAGATTCTCAACATAGCTGCATGACAGGAATCACATAAGGGATGATTAGACTGAATCTGTGGGGATAAACCACAGGTTTTATGGTGACGTAGAAACTCTACAGGTAATTCCAGTGTGCAAGGAAGACGGAGAGCCAGGGTGGGGCCAAGTGAGGGGTGGTCCTGGAAGCACATGGCAGGGCAGTGGCTCTCAGACATCGAAATAACCTGTAGACTTTTAAAGTACAAATTACCTAATTGCATCCTGGGATTCCTGATACAGTAGTCTACAAGAGTGAGAGGTTAGTTCGAATCTTTATTCACATATGTGTGTGTGTGTGTGTGTGTGTGTGTGTGTGTGTGTGTGTATCTCCAAGGGATGTTGACGCATTTGTTCCTGCGACACATTCTGAGAACCACTGTATTGGGAATAATTATCCTAGTTTGTAGAGTTGAACCAGGTTTCCCACAGAGACTGGTATTACCTGCCAAGGCTGAGTCTGGGTTAGGGAGGTATTTGAGATATTTAAGTCTTAACTATGTGCAGTGGCAGTGGACAAGGAAGCTGTTTTTCACAGAGGGCAAAGCTTAGCAAGGGTCTGCAAGTAGATCTGAGGAGCAGAACAGATATTCACTCTCACTGGTGACACCTGAGTCCTGGGGACAGCAGAGTCCCATAAGGAGTTTGGGTTATATATTAAGATTATTGGCTAAATGGGGATAGGAATTGATTTGATCTGTGGTTTGTAAATTTGCTGTGATTATATAACCAAGCATGAGTTGAAGATGGACAAAATTGGAGAAAGTCTAGGTAAGAAGTTTTTGTACATGGTTGGTGTCAATAGAGAAGGAGACTAATGGACAGATTCTAGGGGCATAAGAGGCAGAATAAATGGGATTTGATGATTGATATAAAGGAGAGGAGGACAGATCAGGAATGAAAGCCTGAGATGTGGATTTGGCTGCTGGGTACAGTGTTGCCTCTCCCACAGTGTAGGGGTGAGGTGTGGGGTCGACCATGAGTTTGGACACAGTGAGGTTGGGGCACCTATAAGACCTTCAAACAGAAGTGTCCAGGAGGCAGGAGGATGCATGGAGCTGGCGGCTATCAGCATAGAAATGGCAGCTAAGGATGTAAGAATAACCAGGGGATGGGAGGATGAGCAGGGAGACAGAAATGTGGCAGGGCAATAGGTCTCTTGGGGACTGGAGATATCTGTTGGCTGAAGTTGAGATAAACTGAAGCTGAGCTGAAGTTGTAGGATGAATGGTCACATCTCACATGCTTCAGAAATACAGCTAAAATAAACCTGAGGGGTTTCTTTTGGATGGGTTATGAGGGTCTTAGCGGGAATGAAATGAGACTGCTGCTTGTCAATTCTAGCCTTTYGCCTTCCGTCCCTCATCTGTGGCCTGAGGAGAAGAGCCTGCAGTCTACTGTGACCAGACCAAGGCAGGGGCACAGGGTTGAGGCCACATTGACTTAGGGAAAATGCATGGCTCTCCAACACTGAGCGCCACATTAGCCACAACGGGTCTCTACAGCAGGTCTGCCCCGGGTTGCTAGAACGCAGGAGTCCTAAGGTAGTACATTGGGTGAAATTAGATGGGGACGTGTCTGCTTTCCCATCCACATAGGACTACCTGATTGCGGTGTTTAGGGCACACTTTCAAAAATTTGGCATGGGCCAGTACCTATGGCTAGAGGGAAGGGGTTAAGGAAAAAAAAATAAGAAGAAAGAAAGAAAGAAAATAAGAAAGAAAGGTCTTATCCTCAGGGAATTTATTTAATCATGTGAATATAATGACATTTGAAAATCAATAATCTCTGGAACAATGTATAATGTAGTTGCAAACAAAGTAGTTTGATATAAATGATATAGTATATAAATGAGTTAATCCTGAACAAACAAACCAAAACCAGAGGCTCTGGCCTGCCCGATTTTCTGGTCTTTACACTTGATTTAGCAGCGTTTGCACTCTTTTGGGAAAGGACAGTAGTAGGATCTGCAGCTCTGTCCCTGGCTCTTGCTCTTCCCCCTCCCCTTGAAGTACATAAACGGCATCTACAGCGCATGTTGTGGATCCTTACAGTCTAAAGACGGCCGACCCCGTCTGCATGAGTAAATACAAGGGAACAGGATAGGCAGGCCCTTCTCTTTTAAAATTCTTTTCTTTCTTTGTTCTCTCACTGTATCCTACCTTCTTCTTTCTTTAGTTTTCCTATTTTGGGGGATAGCATATAAATATTTTTCATAACTCTTATAAACTCAAAATATACCATCTTAACAATTTCTCCTTTCAAATTCACAAGGAGAAATTGTTCAGATGGTATTGCGACTTGGGGCATGGGAGTATTTTTTCCTGTTTCACCAGCCACGATTTAGGCATGTACTGCAGCCACCACCCAGTGAGAGGACGACAGGCTGTCTTCAGAAGTGAATGCAAATGATATTTTACAGCCACTGTGCTTCCCATTTTTGCTTCTGTTGCAAATGATCTATCCATTTTAAATGTAAAAATACATTTTGAARCATCTGTTTTTGTAGTCTTGACACCAATCTTCACAATCGCATTGGGCATAATTAAAATTTTAAACCATGGTGCTAATCCATGCTATCACATTATGTAGTACTAAGAAGCTATAACATGTTCCCTACTGGAATGTCATCTTATTCATGCATAAAAAGAAGCCATGAGTAGGGTGGACTGAATACAGTTTAAAATCCTTCCATTTTTAGTACTGTTCGCCTTTTCCTATCAGGAAGAAGCTGATCCCTTTTCTACTCCTGGAAAACCTGAAGGGGCAAATGTCATCTGTGAGTTTCTCCCTGCTAAGTTTTATATGAACTTGATACATCTCGTCTCACTTCAGCACCCTTTGTACTCAGTGCCTTCTAGTCAGAGTTAATCCAGGGAGTCACAACTGCCATCACTGGCTTTATTCATGCGTCAGCACAGCTAAACCCAAACCGGTCGACAGCTTCCCTGCCCACGTCTGGGTACAGTCATTAGGATCTAAGAGAGGAGAGAAAAGGCCCGCTCTTACCATTGTCATTGCCTTGCTTGATTTCCTCCGCGGTCCTGTCTATCAACACGTACAAAGACCAAACCACACAGGTGATGGCGATGACATGGAATGTGACAGAGCAGAATATTTTTCTCCTTTCACTTGTTGTCATCTGTAGTTTTTCCCACTGCAATTAGAAACAAATTACACAAAACTGAGTTTACAACTAAAAAATTAGGCTTTGATTTTTATTTCCCAGACATCGGTCACAAATGGAAGGAAAACATATTTTTGCAATTTAAGATTACACTATACTATTCAAATAAGTCATCATGTTTGGTGAACCATGAAATCATAAGAAGTTAAAGATATAAAAAAATAAAAAGATGTTGGATGCCATGGCGCATGCCTGTACTTCTAGCTATTTTGAAGGCTGAGGCCGGAGGATCACAATTTCAAGGCCAGACTCAGAAACTTAGTGAGACCCTGTCTCAACAATTTTTAAAAAGGGCTGGTGATGTAACTCAGTGGTAGGATGGCCCTCAGTTTGTATCTCTGGTACTGCAAAAATAAAAATTAATTAATTAATTAATACAAACAAAAATAATTTCCCATTTTCCAAGTGAATTAAGTCATTTTTGTTTTGTTAGTCTGTGTTGCATTCTATAATACGAATGATATACTTTTAATACTGCACAAGTTTTAGAAAACATTTCCTTTTAGGTTTCGGCCTATCACCTCTTTGTGGTACTAGATTACAAGTAGTGACAGGTAACATTGTCTTCTTATTATGACATGACCTTACATAGTGTTTCATTCTTTTTATCAGGGGTATAGGGTATTGGGGATTGAACTCAGGGGTACTCAACCACTGAGCCACATCCGTAGTCCTATTTTTTAAAAAAATTTTTATTTAGAGACAGGGTTCTCACTGAGTTGCTTAGCACCTGGCTTTTGCTAAGGCTGGCTTTGAAGTCGAGATCCTTCTGCCTCAGCCTCCCAAGTCCCTGGGACAACAGGCATGTGCCACGGTTCCTGGCTAGTATTACATTCTTGAATGTGTGAATTTAACGGGTATTTGAATGGCTGATTGATAGTTGCAAGGGAGAGTCAACGTTTTCTGTTCACAACTCTTGTAGAAAAACAAAATTTTAACATCCAGGCCATAGAAGACAATCTGCCAAAGCCCTTTTCAAAGTGGCCTTGATTTATTGCTGCCAGGAGAGTTGTAAATTCTGGGACAATCATTGTCCCTTAATCACACTCCTCAAAAATTGAGGGGTGCTCTCTAAGGCTGGGAGGCTACGGGTTGGTAGAAGAAGTGAAGCTTGTGTGAGGATATGTTTCCTATAGTGGGAAAAGTAGCCTCTCAAAAGAAACTTGGATGTTTGACATGCATAGCGTCACTTCATTTCCATGTTAGGAATCATGTCTTTATTTTGCCTTACTGTATTCCCAAAGGAAAATGAAATCACTATGATTTTATTAGCTGTGAACAAATATGCAGAGCTCTTAGTAATTCAAGATTCTTTATATTATTATGCCCTTGCTAAAGCAAAATCTTTAGAACTTGTGAAGACCCTACCCCAGCAACACACACTAGAACTTGATGCAGGACTTAATTAGAAGCAAGAGGGCATCCATCATGTTGCAGAGAGTCCTGGATCTGCCACCAGCTTGAGACATGACTGACATTGCTCACTCACACTGGGCCCCACTTAACTCATCTTSGTGAGAAGTAGATTTTGGCAGAGGTATGGCAGAGAGGCTTCCTTCACTTCTTCCTTTGTTAACAGGCTAATTCTACTAGGGTCGACCTTATGCCCAGCTAAAAGCTGCCTTTCCAACCTTGTTGGTAGAGGTGAACTTTGGCTATTTTCCACCAATGAGATATGAGCAGATATTTACAGGAACATTGAGATTTTGCTCCTGGATATAGGGATTATTCTTTATTCTTTGCTTCATAGGGGTCTATCAGAGCTAACTGCCCATTTACACTCCTTCCTGTACTCTTGTATCTTCTGTATTATTCTAATAATGGAGAAATCTTAATAACGTCCTAAGAAGTAAACACACATTTCAATCTACACTCTGTTTTGAAATAATCAACAACCAATTGAGAAGATTTTAGCATTGCTTTGGCTTTTATCGAAACTTCACATCATATCTGTGAAAGATTACTTCTTAAAATCTTGTTTTGGCATTTATTTATGGCAATGTTGATTTGAATAACCTGTATAATCATAGAATCTTACCATCTGGTAAGAGCATTTTGTGGTTTACCACTTACTAAATAGTCCTTGAATTACCTCAATATTCTGTATGACCAATACAAAAGGTGAGGTGGTGCAGAAAAGCAGATTCAGCTGTTCAGATTTTTAAAATGTTCCAGTGTACGGGAATACCCTCAATAACAAAATATTCCTACCAAGTGTATCCTCAATTGTAAAACTACCCATAAAAACCCTTAAAAATGAGTCTTCTTTTATCTAAGGAGTAATTTGATAAAATGTCTGGAACACATTATTTAAAATCAATGAACCTCCAATAGAAAAATATCAGTGGAACTGACACAGATGGACCAAATCATTTGTAAAGATTCCTTCTCGTTCCAGACAATAGAAGCTCCGAATTTATCACCTCTAACTGGCATTAGAAGTGACATTTTAAGGAGAAACGAAGTGTGAGGGGACCATCAACCTTTTCCATTTTATAAAGCTTTACAGAAACCATTCAGAAATTCACTACGCAGCGCACAGGTAAATGTGATGTCACAGCGCCTTCTACCTGGGGATTGTATTACTGCAGCCGATGTTCAATACACTACATCAACGAAATCATTGTATTTATAAACTGGACATGTTGTCTATTCAGTGTGCTATTTTATATAACAAGTTTCAATACTTTTTAAATTTTTTAAAATTTGTTCTAATTAGTTATACATGACACAAGAATGCACTTTGACACATCATACATAAACGGAGTATAACTTCTGATTCTTGTTGTACATGCACTTAGGGTAATAATGTCTGATTCATACAAGCCTTCACCATGAGGAATAGAAGGAGGAGGTAGGGAGGGATAGACAAAGCTGTCATAAAAGTACTGTGATTTAATATTTGTGTAATTGAAATTCAGTAGCAGCGCATAAAATATTTTGTGAAAGGAAAGTGGTAATCTGAAAATTCACATAGCATTTGACTCCCTTCCCAGCTTTATAAAACAAAGTGTAGTTTCTGCCTACATTAGCATGTGCATGATGTTACCAGGGTTATATCTCTAGAGGGTGGGGTGTCAGGAGAGCTGCTTTGGATTCTCAAAGTCCTAGTCACAACCTAGTGACTRGATGGTCACTAGATAGGGACGAGATGGACCAGAGTCACGACCATGGGCACAGCAGCAGAATCAGGATGCTAGTTAGAGACGAAAATTCTTGAGCTTTACTTTTGAGATGATCATATTGGCTTTTCCCATAGGGAACTCAGAAACTATGAACCTTGCCTCCTCCTTGATGAGGCCAGCCCCCTTCTGCCTTGCCACCAGTGGGGCAGCAATGGCCACCACCTTTCCTCTAGATTACTCAGACCTGAGCCAAATATTCAGTCCTCATGTCTCAGTRTGAAGGASACACACATCTCTCCATCTRGTGCAAACATTAGRGAGCACTCCCTTTCTCAAGGTAGAAGGGGGGACAGGGACACACCACAGCACACAAGCAGTCTTACAATGTTTTGCACTGCCCATTCAGTAATTAACAAGTTTTCTTTTTTTAGTTACTCCAAATATTTTATTTTTCTAACAGTGATACTATGTAAATGGAAGAAATGTCAAAATGTAAATGTAAAATGTCAAAAAACACTGGTTGGTATTTAGTCTGAGAATTAAACCAAAGCTCTCTTGAGGTTCAGAACTGATCAGTGACAAGACTTTTTGATTCTTCCAAGGAGTTCCTTCATAAGGCAGCCTTCTATCTAAACCTGCCCTGGAAGACAATTGAGATTCTGTCTGCCCTGTCACTGAAGACATGTGGGTTARGAGTAAACCTGTAATTGCTATCACACCAAATCAAACACTGATGAGGTTTTGAGATCAAGTTTTCTTGAAAATTAGCATCAGCTAAGGTTGCTTCAAATACCCCAGCACCTCCTACATACTTGGTCTTTGGGCTTAGACTTTATAGTTCCTGGGTTTTGGGTACCTATTTGTTGTTCTGGGCCTTTGCTCCTTTGTTGAAATCCTTACACAATAGAAAGAATTGGACAGAATTATGTTATTCACTCAGAAATATTAAACCAGATTTTTTTCTGAAAAGATTTCTGAACTGTAGTATAAATTGATGAAAATATTGTTTCTGTGAAATTTTTCATTTGCTCTAGCTAAATCTAACAGTGCATTTCAGTGTGATTTTCTAAATTAAATTACTTGTATTTGTAGTCTATTCTAAGAGATAAATTTGAAAATACTGACTAATGAAAATGTTTAAAAAATCTTTGTAGAATGAAGGCAGTTMATTTGCACAACATTAAAAACCATGAGGTAGGGACTACTTTGCCAAAGCCATTTGTTTTTTCCTGGCCACTGTATAGGACCAAGAATTATCATGAAATCTATTGATTGATAGAGCAAATAACTGCYACTTGGTGGCACTAAGCCCCCATGGTAACTAGCAGAACTGGTTTCCATGTGCAGGCTGACCAGGCACTCCCGGCCAGCTGGCTGTGAAGTCTGTTGTTTCATAATGAAACAACATCAAAGCAAATTCACAGTTTAACTGTTTAAATTTTTCTAACTCAGCYTGTCATATTACAGTGGGGTTTTGTCACTCGTGTGCAAAATAATACCTAGAACAGCAGGTATGAAATGCATTGTATTATCTACACATCTTAATAACATATGYTGTGTTAGAGCGTAAATAAACCCTACAAAAATTCTAGAACCTTGGAGAAGTTCCTAGAGGATTCATTCCGGTGCAGCAGTATTTCTCAGTATTTGATTCTGACCAATACAAAGGGTAAGGTGGTGCAGAACTTGTAAGAAATTCAATATTTAGGGCTTTACAACAAATTTATCAAAGAGGAAGTTTTGATGGCACAGCCCCTGTAATCTGAGTTTTAACAAGCCCTCGGGTTATTCTCAAGCAAGCCAAAATTTGAGAATGACCTGTTTCATCAACGACAGTTGGCAGAA